TTTCAAGCCTCTAGCTCATCTTCTCGAAGAACAGAGAAACGTTTAAACGATAGACGTCAGAACGCTAATTGCTTGCATGCGCCCACTTTATTGTTTTTTCGGAGGAAAAGAGTGTTTATAATGTTTATAACGTATGTTGCTTCAAAGTTCCACAATATTTTTTACATTGGTGTGGATACAGAGTTTACGAAACGCAAGGCGTGACTTTTCACGCCAGGCGTGATTTTTCAGGCTTCGTAAGCTTCACACAGCCATTAAGGAACCTACTTTCATATTGCCTGGCGTGAAAATCACGCCTAGCGTTAAAATTACACTCGCGTTTTGGGAAATCTGTATCCACCTTTTCTAATTTTTTTATTTTCATATTTTATTCTTACAGAATGCGAGGAGTTTAAAAAATACTTATTTAAAGATGAACCAACGTTTTCTCTTTCGTGGCTTGCTAGGAAAGAGAACAAGACTCAGTGTGCCGACCCTGGAGACGCCTTTGTAACTGGCGGCAAAGAAGCCAACCCGAAGGAGTTCCCTCACATGGTAAGTTAGTGCTGCTCTGAAGGTGTTACCCTTTCGAAAATGAATCTAAGTAATAGATGGGACTGTGTGGGCAACAGGTGCAGAACCTTGCAAAATCGGGTAGTGCTTCATCACACAGAATCCTCACCACACAGAATCCTCACGACACAGAAAATCACCACACAGAATCCTCACGACACAGAAAATCACCACACAGAATCCTCACGACACAGAAAATCACCACACAGAATCCTCACGACACAGAATCCTCACGACACAGAAAATTGTGGAGGGATCTTTCACCACCCAGAATGCAAGCACGTCACCACACAGAATCTTCACGACACAGAAAATCACGACACAGAATCATTTCTCTCACCACACAGAATCCTCACGACACAGAAAATCATGACACAGAATCCTCACGACACAGAATCCTCACGCAACAGAAAATCTCCCCCCAGAAAATGTCTTATCACCAAGACCGGTGGGGTGGGGGCGGGATGTACTGGGTGTGTCACCCGCTACGAGACGGTATGTCGGGCTGCCTACCGGCTGGCCGCAGGCGCTGTTGGAAAAGGCAACTTTAAGACTCTTAAGAAGGGGTAGGGGGTGTACTCGCGAGGGCCCTAGATATGTTTACATGCGTTGCGTACCCCACATGGTGCCTCATTCACGGGAGAGCGTCGTGCGAGCCCGCGGTTCCTCGCGAGGGGGTTTTTACTCGGGATTTTCGTGTACACAGTATTTCATAATACGGTATTACGGGTATTACGTGTATTACAGCGATATTACGTGTATTACGGTGGTATTACGTTGGTATTACGGGTATTACGTGGTATTACGGCGGTATTACGTGGTATTATGGCTAGTATTATGAAGTGAATAAAACACCTAGAAATTGGGCAAGCCATCGTGTGGAGGTGTTTGACGGGTCTGCTGATCTTTCGCCTCCGGTTGACACCAGTGCATCCAAAAGGGCAGGCTGTTGCGGGCTACTTCCCCCTCCTCCCATGTTAAAGCATAGGCTCCAAAAAAAGAAGCCCGCAACAGCTTGCCCTTTTGGATGCACTGGTTGACACGACAGGAGCGGGTTGTTGCTGCGGCCCAGGTCACCAATAGGAAAGTAGACGTTTAACTTCTTGCTTATGAGCTGTTGCAGTCGATTGTCGCCAAACCCGAAAGTAACAAAACGCCTAGTAGAGTGCAATAGCAATAGTCAGGGAGAAATAATAGCCGAAATAGCAGAAGATATACC